AGAAAGGCATAGTTAGATCTCCTTGTGGCAGCCCAACTGGTTCACCAAAGGTAGATCAATTTTATTACAAACACAGATAAATGTATAAGACAGTTATTGATTGCTCAGATTCTTTTAAATTCTATTACTCAGTTTCTTTGTGCTTTTAATTGTTTATGAATAAGTTTGGTGGGTTTCTCATTTAGTTTATGGTGAGCCCACATTCATATTTTCTGTTTTATTACTATAAAAGTTATACATAATTTTTGCAGAGAGAGATCATATGTCTGTAGTTCCATGATTTGCCAAAATAAGTAGCAGAGTCAGTATATTTTGTAAGATAGATTTAAAAGGTCATTATATGCATTACAATAATTTGCATGCTGTTATTAAGTGATATTTTATGCTCATTTTTATAGTGCCATGACAAGAAAAATGTGATGGGAGTATATTTGCAAAAGGGCCTAAGGTGTGATAAATTATCACCCTTGTTTCAAGGTGACTCAGAAGAGGGAATTATATGTACTTTTCACACCTGGGGAAATTAATTGCAATGAATTGCAGTATTTGCAAAGTAATTATATTACTGTTTAATATTAAAGACATAACTCTTACTCTACAGTTAAGCCTACAGTTCATTTTATTGTGTGAATTTTTTCTTAAAATTTGATAAGATTTTAAAAATTAATTTTATTTGGTAACATCCTGTATTGCCTAAAATTTGTTGGAAGGGCATTATTTTTAGTAGTGTTTGATTTTCCTGTATTACCAGTTAATTTGGTTTTCAGATCATATGAAGACTTAATTAGAATGTCATTTAGAATTATGTAAACACAATAGATTCCTTTTTTCTCTGCCACGTTCTAATATTAAAACTACAAATCAATCATCAGATGAACCATGTAAATAAAAGCCAAAAGCTATGAAAAGCATATACATTCAATTCAGTAATATATACCTTTGTATTTCTATGTAAGAATCAGTCTGATCTTTAAAAATATTGTAAGAATTCATAAAATTGAAGTAATTCCATATGTAGTGCTGCTCTGTTGCTTGGTGATCTTTCACTGTTTTGGTAATAACTGATAAAGAAGCAGAGCACGTTTGCCCCATATCAGTTGTGCTATATCACAGTGATGAAAACAAAAATAAAGCTTTTAATATTCTATAACTATTAACAAATCAAGTTGCTCTTTAAAAAAACCAAAACAGTGACAACAACTTTGATAGATTTCTCCTCTCTCCTAAATCATAGAAATGTGCAAATAAATTATTGACATATTATTTTAATGTCAAAATCATATAATTTTGATCTTTTATTTGTTTCTGTATCATTTCAATAACTAACTTAACATTTTCATTTATGTACTCATTTCTATTTCTTTTAAATCCTAATGAAATGTATTTATGAGTTTTTTATTCTCATTTAAATTTCATTAACTGGTGATAAAAGCAACTTCTTAAAAGATGGCACAACAATCTAATAAAACTCCTTGTTTGGCTTAGAAAATAAAAGCAATAATACACTAGTTTGTAAGTCATTTCAACGCATGGTACAACTTTAGGGTTTTTTTTTTTCTCTTCTTTTCTTTAGTCTTCTCCTTGCATGGTGAGAAAACAAGATAAACCACTCCCAGCACCACCTCCTCCCTTAAGGGACCCTCCTCCGCCACCACCTGAAAGACCGCCCCCAATTCCACCAGACAATAGACTGAGTAGACACATCCATCATGTGGAAAGTGTGCCTTCCAGAGACCCGCCAATGCCTCTTGAAGCATGGTGCCCTCGAGATGTGTTTGGGACTAATCAGCTTGTGGGATGTCGACTCCTAGGCGAGGGCTCTCCAAAACCCGGAATCACAGCGAGTTCAAATGTAAATGGAAGGCACAGTAGAGTGGGCTCTGACCCAGTGCTTATGCGAAAACACAGACGCCATGATTTGCCTTTAGAAGGAGCTAAGGTAAGACATATGCAAAGCATAAGCTAGAGAATCTGCGTATAAATGTTTCTGGTGGTCGGTAGCATAAGGTTGGGAAGTGGTTTTTTTGCCTAGTATCGCACTTCCCTGCAGGTCTTTAATTATCTCCAAGTTATAAATAATCAGAAGCTCATTAAAACTTGAACTTAAAAGGAGTCAGGAGGTTCTAAGTAATGATTTAAATTTAATATGAAGACACTAGACAATTTGCCTGAGATTTATTTCACCTTCACATATTTCATTTGCCAAAAATTTCTTCTATTAATAACTTAGTGGTGCTATAATCAGCACTGTATTTTTTTTTAAACAAACTCTTGTAGTTCCCTCCAATTTTTACAAGTTGTGTTACTGTACATGTTCTAAATCAGTTGCTGGAATTAGTTATTGTTGCCTGGGACAGTACACACTAACAGCCGGGTAAAATGAACTTCTGTCTACTTAAAAACACCAAACCAAGTTCACTCTTAAAAATCAAATTCTTCCCCCCCAAAACTGAGAGATTCTCACCCTTGCTGATTTCTCAATCGAAGGATATTACCAGTATCATTTATATGCCTAGGAAGGAGTTTATGTGTACAAGGAACTGAAGAGGCAGCTGCAGAAATCATTTACTTTAGAATTCTTGGTAGTTCCTTGGCAGAGATGTACTGTAATAATTTCTGGTATTTGCTTCCAGGATACTTTTGGCTTTGAGATTAGATCATTGCCATATTCTGTCTACTGACAGAGGTCTTGGCTCTTCTGAAGACTGTAATATTAAAGTGATTCCATCTCTGTAGACTTTGAATTGTTATTTTATAAAAGTAGTCTAGTTCTTCAAAATAATGGTTTGAAGTTGGTGAGTTCATCTAATAACATATTCAGGATACAAGGAAGACATGTGACTTGCACTCAGTTCCTCTGTGTGTGTGGAGGGACAGTGATAATGAACACTCTGTATGACAATATTTAACCTCAGTGATAAGGGGTAACCATGAAAGGAAGAGTCACAACTCTGTAGTGCAGTATTCAAAACAAAGGCAAGGAGTGGTGGCAGATTGCTGTGACTCTTTGCCAGTGACTCACTTGATACCTTCAGTCTCTTCTATGATAAATATGAGGATCTCTAAAGGCTTCTTCTGAGTCATCTAAATATAATGTAAATGTAAGAGGATGCACTAATAAACCCAGTTTTATAATGATCTCTGTCAGTGGGGAGGTCATCCTCAAAAGAGTTTTTCCACTGTCTAGAATGCTGACTGGAGGGATGTGCTATTTATTTTATTTTTTTTCATTTTTAGTGTTTTTTTCCCCCTTCGAATCTGTTACTTTTTATTCATATGTGATCACATTTGTCTTGGGAAGAGTGTTAGGAGAAGCTCTAATTAACTAGTTGTATCTCACCAGCATGTTATATTTTCTGAATGAACTTCAAAAATACTTAAAATATAATAGTTGTTACAGCCATTTCATTGAAGATATCTTGTTTCAGGATTCTTTTAGATGACATATTATAGTTTTAATGCTGTTATAATTTGCCCTCCTAAGCCCTAGAAAACTGGCTGATTATTTTTTTTATGAGATGTTGTAGTTTCAAAAATTGGGGTGACAGTTTCTTAGGTTGTTGGTATGAGATACTATTTTTATTTTATTAACTATAGGTATGAAATATTAATTGTGAGTTATAAAAACATTCCTTTAAATATTTCTATATGGACTTTCATGCTGTGATCATTGATACAGATTAGTATTACAGAGACCATTGAGTGAAAAATTTAGCTCTTATTGAAAGTTAAACTTTAGTATTACTTAGTTCTCTCCAAATAATTCTTATTAATATTCCCTAAGGTCTGGTCTCATGTATTGTATGTATTCAATATTGCAGAGCTAATATCCTCAAGTTAATTTCATGTTACTCTTAGATTTGGTGTTTCAACCAAAATTAGACTTCTTTCTAATTTCAACCTAATTGTTTAACTTCTGGAGTGAACTGTAAAGAAGAATTTATATATAGTTCATGCATGAATGCTACAAAACTATAAAACAGACCATGTCTCCTCTTTTATTACCTTTATAAAGGAAAAATGCTTCCACTTCATTAGATCATAGGACATACCAGAACTTACATAAAGTATAAAAGGCCTAATTCTTCTTCTCATTTTATTGTTGGGAGACTTAAGAGGTTGGCTTCAACTAACAACTGCCTTGATTACTTAGGATCCTGCAATTCTCAGTTTCTGTGATTCTGGGTTAGAGTTTGTAACCAGGCTCCAAAATCAGACCTGGATTTTACCTTCTGCTCTAGAATGGACTGGCTTTGTGTATATGAGCAACTTACTTCATCTTTGTCCCCAACCTCACTTATTTTTCTTATAAATAAAGTGAAACTTTATTTTATTCTTTCATATAAAATGGAATGTTAATAATACCTGGTATCTAGGAGAATAGTTAGCTTCCAACTATCTAAATTTCTATACAGGAATGAAAAAAAAAAAAAAATAAATAACAGCTGGACATAGAGTGTCGAGATAAGTTGTAACCATTGGTATTTTTATCCAAAATACTTATTGGTTTTTTAAACCAAAACATCTCTTTGTTCCACTCCTTTTTTTTTTTACTTAGCATAGTTCCTAATGAATGCTTGGTAAGCACTCAGTAATCAAGTTAATAACTTCGTTAAGCACTCAGTAAGTTATTTAACTTGGTTACTTATTACTTATTACTGAGTGCTTATAATATAATACTTACTTGGCGCCAGTAACCTAATGCTTAAGCCAGTGATAGAGACAAGAGTGTATGTGCTTGGGTTTGGATGTTGGCAGCTGTAGGCCAGGAGAGAAAACATGTAGGAAGAGGATGGCCATGATATGCAAGGAGTTACAAATGGACAGGTTTTTATGTATCTTGCATAATTTTCTTGTTTAAATAGGATTTTTTTCCTCTGCAGAAGAATAGTCATTTTAAACATGTGTGTCATACACAGTAAGAAAATGAGAGCGGATGAAGAGAAAGGGGAGATATTTTGTTTTTTTTTCGTTTGTTTGTTTGTTTGTTTGTTTGTTTGTTTTTTCCCAGTGCCACGGAGCGAATTTATTGTGAAAGCTCGTGGGTTGAGGAAGGGATGGGGCAGGCTCTAGGAGGCTGAGTCGGAGACCTCTGAGCTGTCTTTGACATCTGTGCTCTCTGTGGTCTCGCTGACCTCGCTGAGGTCCTTGCTGTCCCCACCACTATCCTCGGCAGCCAGGCCCTTCTCCTCGCGACAGGCCTCTCCTGAGCTCGGAGGTGAACTGCCTTTGCTCTCCACCTTGTTCTCGATGGCACCCAGCACCACGTGCCTGCCCTTCTCCTTCAGCTCCAGGTGCCGCCTCAGCTCGTCGGCCATCTGGGTGAGATCCCGCTTCGTGGCGTAGGCATCCTCCCCATCTGCATAGTATTTGGGCTCCACTTCACTGATCTGAAAGTTGAGGGTGTTGGAATAGAGGTGCAGGGCGGCCCGGTTACTCTTCCTGACATGCAGGGAGACGTATTTGGCATTGAAGTTCTCTATCATGGCTCGAGAGGCCTGGTCCATCAGTTTCTGTGCCAGACCGAGGCGCCGGTGGGAACGCTTCACAGCCAATGAGGTGATATGTCCATGGGGCACATCATCTGGGTCCTCTTCCCTGGGGCCAGGAGAGGCCATGGGAGAAGTAGTATTTCATCTGGTAGTTCTCGGGCAGGCAGAGGAGGTTGCAGTGCTGCATGTTCATCAGGTCCTCCGGCCTCGCATTGCGGATGTTCATAACGGCGGCGGGGCTCGCGGGTCCCAGCGGATCGTGAAGGCACAGTCAGCTGCCGCCGCGCTCCGAAGCGACGCCGGGACGGCGGGGGCTGGGACCGGGGCCGGGCTCTATTTTGGTTTTTTTAAAAGATTAATATTTTTAATAAAAAATAGTAGGTGTTAACAATGTATTTTCACCCTTCATACTTAATAGTGCCATTTTGTTTTGTCTTACTTTATCATAGGAATAAAGGGTGTGGAGACTTAGATATTTGGAGGCTGTTATTCACATAATCCATCAGGCCCCCTAATGTAAGCAAATACACTTTTTTTTTTTTTTTTTTGGTCAAATAGTAAAAACTACCACTTAGGTTTAGTAGTTTCATTAGAAGCAAAGCTTCAAGTTTAATAAGAATTTTCCATTTTAGAGAGAAGAAAATGTGGATAAGTACTGAAAATTTAAATGAAAAATAACAACACATGTGGAATACGAGGGAATTTATAAAAGTCAGTACCCTGTCGATGGACAAGGACGCGCTCCCCTGCATCATTCGTCCTCTGTCCGTGTGTCAGTTCCCACCATCCAATAGAACCATTTGCCTTTTCTGTTTGCATTGTGACTACAACAATGAGTGGCAGGGGAAATGGGAATAAATTAAGTTCTAATTACTCCATTTGCCAATTGTAGAGAGCTCTGAGGAAAAAATTATTCTAGCTCATAGTTAAAATGAAGTGTAAGAATTTTTTGTGACATTCATTAATTCTCTTTACTCTTCCCCTCCTACCTAGCATAAGCAAAAGCTAGCCAAGGTAATACTTTACTTTAAATGTGGATCTACAAGCTAAGAGTTATTAAGATTGTTTATCTGATTTTATTGGTAAGAGATTTCTGTCCTATAGCATTGTTTCCATTCTCTGAAAGTCTCAGATTTTAGTCACCTTAATAAAGTTGTTTCTTAATAAACATCTTGTTGGCTAGATATTTATTGTTGGTGGTGGTTTGTTTTAATCATCTGAAAAAAGTAATTCTACCAAAATATATTAAGATATGACTAGAAACTTGAAATGTATCTACTTATTTCTAGATATTAACATTGTTCCCAACTGTCATTATTTGTTCCTCTTGCGACAGTAAGAATACTGCTGTTTCTTATGTGATAAAACTGTCTTTCACTGGTCATCTTACTTACAATGACATTGTTCTAAAGATGACCTTATATATTATAATCTTTTGAAGATTATATCTTTGCAAGATAAATACATCAAATGATTTCCCTTTTTGCAGTTGTGGCTTGTTGTGCTTGATGGAGAGGCACGTGTTTATATTAATGACCTTAAAGTTATCTATAAATTTTGAGAGCTGTCTTTCAGAAAATCAGTCCTCTGTGTATACTGGTTTCATGTCTAGTCTGTTGTTGAAGGACAAAATACAGGGATACTTTTGAGGTAGCATGTGTAGGGGTCTGCATGTGTAGGATAGGGAAAAGGTTTGTGTTTGTTAATATTTTTTATAAGTTTTTCTTAATTGTGCCAAGAATTTCACAAAATTATTTCTCTGTACCTCAAGGATCCCAAATGTTTTAATCTTCAGTTTTTAGACCATATCTGAATCACAGGAAAACATTTTACACTTTTAAGATTAGGATTAGACGATATCTTGAGGCATTTACAGAAATACTAATCTAGGATAACCTAGATTTCTAATAAATTATACAAGCCAGTTTATACTTTTTTCACAAGTCTAACCTTCCGCTATTGTGTTCTTATTCCTTCAACCTCATTACCTAATTCAGCTATATGAGTACCTAGGATGTTCAAGACACTCTGGGGTATACAAAGACGAATAAAGCACGGAAAAGCTAGTGAGGATGAGACAGGCATGTGATTAGGAGGTAGGGCATATGAGAAGCATCCAGAAAGTGTGTGGGATCCCCAAGACGAAAAATTCTAACATGCGTGGCTGAAAAAGGAATAAAGAAAGCTTCATGCAAGAGGGTCACTGGCTAGACATTAAAAAATTGGCAGCTGTTGTTTTTGTAGGTATGAGAGAAAGGAATAGCATGGAGGTGGGAAGATAGGTATAGTGTATGTAGTCAATTTTGGATGGCATATAGCATAGAGAGAGTAGGCAGGTGAGGTAAGACCATAGCAATGTAGTTGAAACCAATTATGAAGTGTCTTGAATTCTACACTAAGTTACCATAATTTGGTAGTCAGGAAAGAGCATTTAAAGTTTTCTTTTCTGGCAGAGGAATGCCAGGATGACAATTGTGATTTTAGATTTTAATTGGCAGCATTTCCAATGCAATTGTGATAGATTTGGAACCATGAACTAAGAATGCAGGGAACAAAAAAGATGTCTTCTAGTTGAGGAGTCAGTGAGGTTTCGGTGTGAACTGCTTCAGTGGATACCGTCAGTCTGTACATTTGAGGAACTGTAGTTTATTACCATTTGCAACTAGATTTTTCAGATATCTAGAAAACAAAAAGTACTTATTTTTAGTTCCCCAAGTTGTGATTTATTGCACTGACTCGTGTAGTGACGGCTAAAATGATGTTCTGGTGTAATGAAATGGTTACAGGTGAGAACATGAAATTCAGAATGACATAATGTTAAATTATGTCCTCTGAATCTTGTCCTCTAGCCACTGTCGATAAATATAAACAGCCACTTTAGATGAACAGAAGCATGACCACATTATAAAGTACCTGCATATTTGAGTCTTTGGCTATTTCAATCTACTAATTAGGAAAGAACTACACAGAATTTCATGTTTTGTATTAGGCATCTTGTCAACTCTTGGTGTATATTTATGAACAGTTTAATGGAAGAATAGTCATTAAACAAATTATATATATATATATATTTGCTGAGAGTATTTCAGTAAAAATGAGTTTCTTTCAGCTAAACCTAAACAAAGTCATTTCACTAGTTTATAACTCCATTAGTAAGTTCATCTCCGCCAATCAGTAGTCAGTATTCACTTAAGCCCTACTGTGTGTAAAGCCCCATAAAGCATATGCTATAAAATGGAAAAGGGATAATGAATTTTTGTCCTGAAAGAGGCCCAGTGTGGCCTAAATTCTCCGCAACAGAACGTAAGCAAAATATCATCAGATGCCAAACACCAAACGAATGGTTCAGAAAAGACACTACAGCATTTCACTGGCCAGAGAAATCCTTTAGTTACTATGCATCAGCAACAAATGGTATTTCTGAAGCAGTTAGAAAAGGTTGTATTTGCATTTGAAAGCAGATTAATGGATTGTTGCAAAAAAAATTAGGAGTGAGTCGCTTAATTTTTTTAGGTGTTGCCCTCCAAGAGTAAGTTACCTCATTAAGTGTGCTTTGTGGTTTTACTAGTGATGAAACATCATTGCCTGTATGACTTGTCTTCATGAAATTTAATAATAGTGCATAAAAATGTGCAAGCTCTGTTATTAGTGTATTTATTCTCATTTACCTAATGTGCAAGATGAAAGCAGTTTCAATAGCAATAAATGTTTGAGTGTATTGATATTTTTTAAAGACATGTTCACAATGTTCTGATTATAAAATTATGATTGGTTTATTATTAAATTAGAGTCGATACAACTCAAATTGTTATTTCCATATCTCTCTTTTTATTTTACTATTGCTAAAATTTTATTAAGCATCTATCTATGTTGGATGCTTTGTCCTGAAATAACAAACTATTGCATATAAAATCCACATTACATTTTCCAGAATGAGTTTTAAATGTATTTGTGACAGAAATTAAGGAGATTTGATTGCAGATATCCTACATTGTATCTATTCCAGCAGCATGCAAAGAACTCCAGTTTAGAATGACTTCCAGTGCTCAGTATCACAATGAACATTTGTGGTTTGATGTATTTGTCAGTTAAAAGACCTTTTTTATGTTAAAGGATTTTATTAAACTTTGAAATGATTATTATCTATTAGGAAATTTCTTCTTTCTGGTAAACTTCAAAACACTTTGCCTTCTTCTGTTATTTGGCCACAGTCAAAGGCCTAAGATAAAATCATTTCATTTAAAGGTAGCATTTTGTCATGGAATGGCTGCAGTATATTGAGTCTAAAGAGGGGGGGAAACGTGGAAAAAGAGAAATTCGTACTAAAGCATAGAGCTAGTCTGTAGAGTGAAACTTTACTGCTACAAAATTTGATTTTGTAGCTTTGAAATACAAATGTTGATACATTTCAAATGTGTTCTTTAAACTTGTTTCTTTTCTTAAGTTGATAGGTAAGGGTATGGTCTTTTCAATTTTGTATTCTAAAGCTTCAACATCATTTTAGAAATATGACGGGGGAAAGTCATTGGTAAGTCCTTGACTGAATTATCGAGCACTGTTGAAGTTACTTTACATCCAGTTAGCCCCACCATCAGTCTGCCTATTAAATGTGAATTAATAAGAGTTTGCAGAAGAACTCCATGATAGAAATCTAAGACCCGGTTGCTTGCAGGTCTTAAAATATGTTCAGTCTTTTTTTGAGAACATTTTTCTGCAAAGTTATCCTTTCATATCCTTCCCCTTTTTAAGTTGCTGTAATTTCAAATGGCAAGAGAAACAAAAAACAGTTTTTCAGACATTTCCTGTAGCGTTAACAGAGAACTCTAGACATCAGAATTTCCTATCTCAAGTAATTGAACACTGGCTTTGGATGATCCCATATGAGCAAGTTAGAAATTGTGGTTTGTGTGTTCACAAACTGACATTTTTGTTTAAATTTGCCTGCACTTGGAAAGTCAGAACAGGTCTCTAGTTATCATTAGCACAGAAGCTTCAGCCATGAAAGAACAAAGGCATTTCTGATTATATTCTTATACCGTTTTATCAGAAAGTTCTGTTCTGTTCACCCTGGAGAAATACAATTTAGAGCACTTTAATTTGGAAGGACTTAAGAATAACAGCAGTGCTGCTTTTTTCTTTACCTTTTACAGAGAATGCTAACTTTTGATTTACTTTCAGGTCTTTTCCAATGGTCATCTTGGAAGTGAAGAATATGATGTTCCTCCCCGGCTTTCTCCTCCTCCGCCAGTTACCACCCTTCTCCCTAGCATAAAGTGAGTTTTATTGAATTTGGAGATCACTTGTCCGTGCATCAAGATATGGTAAAGA